TTTTTCCTGACCTTTTTTATTTTTTCGCTGACCTTTGGTTCCTGTTCCTCTACTGGCCGGGCGATGGGGTGGCAAATTTAACGGATTTCTGGTCTTTTTTCGTGTCTCTTCCTTTTGTCTTTTATTGATAGTTTCTTTATTTGTTTTGTTTATTTATTTACTATTTGAACAAAAGGATTTCTTGAAATAAATGTTGATTGCTTGCCCCTGGAATAGACAAAATAACTAGAGATGAGATAGTAAGATAATATATCACAAAATATAGTAAACTAACGTGTACCCACGACTTCGTTCGCGTCGAATTAATCATTTGTAATGGTGATTATAAAGCAAAGCAAGAATTTCCATTAATATACAAACTGGATAAAATGTTCTCACATTTATGTCAGCATGAGAAAAAACAATATGGCGATATTATTATATTTTGGCAGTTACTAAATATGAAAGATAAAAATTATTTTCACCCCATTTCACCTCCTTAGGGGTAGATTTGAAAAAACTACTGCGATAACAAAAGAGATATAAAAAGGTACTTAAATAGAGCCCACAGTCAACCCGTTTCCAAAAATCAGCTTTAAACGTCAAGCAGTTTAAACAGAATCGTGATTGCCCAATGGTCATATTTTATGAAACACCCTGTATAAATTTTTAAAAATCTTAATATATGTAAAACAACAAAATAAAAGATACGTGTTTAATAGTTTTTCCGAAAAACTCCCCGGTTTTTAAATAAAAAATATTCTAATATTTGAGGGGTGGTGTCACCCCCTTAGAATTCGAGTTTCGAAAAATCCCTTCTTATCGAACCTCTACACCCTAAAGTCAATCCGTTTTCCAAAAATCAGCTTTTTACGTCAAGCGCTTTACTTAAACAGGATCGTGATTAATCAATGCTCAGATTTTTCAAAACACCCTGTATACATTTTTAAAAAATCTTAAAATATGTAAAAAAACAAAATAAAATATACGTGTTTAAGCGTTTTTTCGGAAACTTGACCGTTTTTTAAATAAAAAATATTGTAATATTTGAGGGGTGGTTTCACCCCCTTGGAATTAGAATTTCGAAAAATCCCTTCTTGTCGAACCTCTACACCCTAGAATCAACCTGTATGCCAAAATTGAGCTTCTTACGTTGAGTGGTTTGAGCAGGATCGTGATTAATCAGTGAGTCAGTCACTTAAGGATTTTATATATTAGTATAGATAATTTTACTCTTCGACATAAAGAGCTCAGATAACGCGAAATTTTAACTTTGTCCTCTAGACCATTTTAACGTGTGTATTTTCAAATTTTGAAACGCTAAACCAACAATTTATACACGAACATTACAAGTTAATAAAAAACCTGTAAAAACTCGAAAAGATAGCAATTTTTCCGAAAAATACAGCAATTTAATACCTACAGTAATCCCTCGAAAACTATATTTACCCGTGCCGTCGTATTTACCATTTCTGCAAAACGAGAGTGCCTATGGTAAACACCGGCCCCTCTCCAAGATTATTATGTACCGTCTGTCCGAAATATGTGTGATTTAACCCTTTTGCACAATGGCGAATAACAAGAATGACGTATGGGCAGCTGTCGCGGCCGGCACGTGTGATTGTTATTTGCGCATTTCATCGAAAAACAGTGAAAGGGCCTTAAGTAAACCTTTTTGGGCAACGAATTCGTAAATCTCTTCAGCTGTCGAGAGGCAAATGGCACGTAGCGATGTATATGTCAATTTGAGAGTGAATAGATGTAATATTGCAAAGATCCACTTACATATTATAATTCCATATTTCATGACAAGTTTATATCATTAGTTTACTTACAACTACATATAGGTAATGTTGATATCATTGACTGTTTAAAGTTTTGAAAGTCACATTATCTACTTTTATTTCTTACTGAATTAATATAAACTTAAATCATCTTGGTTCCGCTAGATTAGATTAGATTCTTAGAGGTGGCTTTCGGCCTGATCCACTGCGACCTTCTCAGATCTATTGTGGTCCTCTTCAGATCCTTAGATTACATTCTCCAGTCCTATCCTTTTCACAAAGTTTAGCAACTTGGAGACTGAACCCTCCATTTAGCTCCTTGGCAATGGCCTATCATTGCCTATTACCGGGAACCGCACATTTGCCAGGCTGTCACACCGACATAAAATGTGTTCTGACGTTTCTTCTTCAGATTGGCAGAACCTACACATAGCTTCGTCTGTCAATCCCATCAGCTTTAGATGCCTATTTAGCTTACAATGCCCTGTTAGTAGACCTACTACAGCTTTGACTGTCTTTCTGTCCTTGCTTATCAAGTCTACCGTGAATTTTGGCAAATGTTCTACAATGAACCTTTTCGCCTGTCTCTGCCCTGGTGAGTTTCTCCACCATTCTAGAGATTTGTTGGCCACCCATCGTTCCGTGGCCATTCTCGTGACCGCCTTTGCAACGCCGCAGAAAGGTTCTGAGCCTATGAATGGCATTGATGAGCCTTGCTTGGCCCTTTCATCTGCCTTTTCGTTACCCTTGTGACCCTCGTGCCCTGGCACCTTGGTCAACGTAACAGTGCTACGTCCGCCCAATGTATTCAGAGCACGCACACAGTCCCACACTAGTCTTGGTTCCGCTAACCATAAATAGAGTTATAACTTATAACATAACTCCCTTGGCACATTATTAACGAGAATTATGATGCCATAATTTCCTCTACCTTTTAGTAGGTTGCAGTAAGTTATATAATACAATAGAGATTTTAAGTAATAATATAAAATGAAAATAAACTCCTCTAATAATTTATTTACACAGGTATAATAAATTTACAAGAGAACAGTTTCATCGACATTCCCTGCTAAAATATTTTTCTGTCCCAAAACAGGTGTTTTTATATTCCTTTTGGTAAATGGATTCACTTTTAGCTGGAAGTAATGCTTGTCGTGATTCTTCAGTTTTTTAATATTTCCCCCATTTTAATGGAAATTCTTCTCCCTGGCTTAACAGTATCAATTCTATGTTGCAAAATAAAACACTAATTCACCGAAATACACCAAAACACTTTATTTTTGCACTGGATACGCGTTTCGCTAACCATGATGAAATATGAATATTGAATAACCAACTAAGATGCTAACCATGTTAGCGTCTTGTTGCGTTTTTTTTAAAACATTACCACTGCAGTTTAACAGAGTTTAACGGAGAGCAGTTAACTACAGGTATTTAACTTTTGAGAAACTAATAAATAACAATAAACAAAAAATATAGATATTGGCAGAAGGCATGTATAACAAGTTGTATATTACTTAAAAAATAAACAGTTGTATAATTAAAACTAATGACTATATTTATTCATGATGTTCTTTGCTGGTACATGACATTGTAGAGTTCTAATAAATATATAGTGGTTATATGTAAAAAAAATGGTGTTAAGAGTTGTACTAAATATCTATGAAAGTAATACCATTACAAGACGTAATGTAATGAAACCTAAGATCTAAATCATATTTTAAATATTAAATCGACATGAATGTTCTTAACAATCTAACCACTAAACATAGTCTGTACGATATTACTTAAGATGTACATTATTGTTTAAGACTGAAAATGTTTTAGATGTTAAAAGTAAAACTAGAACTTAAATCTACACTTAGCTGTTCTTTAAGTAACCTTGCTTCAAACAGTAGCAGCGTGAGGTGGTCTCGCATCTCTGTACTCGGCCATCCAATACAACAAAACGGGCCAGAATGAGGACACCATGAATTGGAACAGCCGTAACTACTAACTAGTTTATGGATGGGAACGAAGCAGCATGGGGCTCAAGCTACATCCACGCTGGGGCACTTTATATGCAAGAAAAATCATTCCTACTGGGGACACTCGTCCACAGGACATCCGTACAAGGGAACACTACCCGTACCTTGGACCATAACCCAGAACTATAACCTTGGACACAGTCCGTCCATAAGATAACGGTACAGGGGAACACTACCCGTATCTTGGAACACTACTAGGACCTTGGATAATGCCCGTACCTTGGAATCAATACATAGATATGGGACACCTGCCCATACCTTGGACACAGTCCGTCCATAAGATAACGGTACAGGGGAACACTACCCGTACCTTGGATACTACTAGGACCTTGGATAATGCCCGTACCTTGTAAATAGTCCGTACCTTGGACCCTAAAAATATGAAACTCTTGTTTAAAACCAAACAAGGTCTAATAAACAAAATAAACCTACCTCGAATTACTTCCGAGGGCTCAATAATAAACAAAGAAACTGTCCTTTCTTCCATGTAACATTCTGGAGGACAAAAGAAAAGGGACGCCAACGTGCCAGCAAAATACAAATACAAGTTAAGTTGGGACATCCAAAACTCTACCCTGTTGGTTTGAAATAGCAGCTGATTCAAATTATACAGCAAGATTTAAATAACCACCATTTCCAAAAACCGGGATACAACAGAGCGGCAAAACAAAGTTAGGTTAAGCACGGAGAGAGTTGGCAGAAGCGATGTTGACAGCGCCTCCTCAGAGCGATAACAGAGTTGTGTCAAACGATAACAGGGTTGGCGACTAGGGAACGTAAAAATTACGCCAAGCGTGCCAAATAAATTATCAGGCCTGAACGATACGAAATCCGATGACGATACGCCAGACATCATATATATCATATATAAAAAAGACATGTAACGATCTAAAAACGTTACAGTCTTAGTTAACTTCAGTTTTACTACAGTTTAACTACAGTTAACTACAGTTTTAATCTTTTGCAGGATTAAAACTACAATTTTAATCATCTGCAGAAAGAAAAAATAACAATTTCAAAACGCATAAAATATAAAAAAGTTAGGTAATATCAGTGACGTAGAAATAGATTGTTTCTACGTTATTGGGTAATATTAATTTTGATAGAAATTGAAAATTAATCCTATTATTGTTACTAATGTATAAGAAGACTTCAAAATGTTTAAAAAAAGGGTATTTTATGTTTCTTAAACCCACTTTCTTCTTTCCAGGTTCCTTACCTCCCAGTCCAGCTGATTCGGGTGTTTCGGATGTTGACAGTTCATCATCAGGACATACGTCGACGGACGAACTGAAGGCTCGTTTACAGCCTTCAGTGCATTCTCCCGTTGGAGGATTGTTCTCTAGACATCCTGCATTGAACTGGAACTCACCCATTCACCAACATCCGGCTCAGAGACAGAGTCACGTGGCTCAGCAGTTCTACCAACCTTTTACCACCAGTAAGTACTTAGAAATTAGCCAATGACAAATTGCGACACTTTTATTGTTGATTGAAATCTTTTAAAATTGTTACTGTCATTTGCTCTGAGGTAGATACATTTTAAAAATATTTAAAAATTCTGTGTAATTTCAGAAATTTCAGATATTTCCTATTTTTGTTAATGGTGGATCAGATGTTTGGGTATTGGCCTATTTCTCTGCTTTCTTTCTTTTCTTAGCCTACCTTTGTCTTGGTGAATTTTACCACCATCTCTAGAGATTCTGGCTACACTGTTTTTTTGGCCATATTTATAATCGCTATTCAGCATCGCAGAATAGTTCTTACGAATGGCATTGATAAGTCTTGTATGGCCATTTCATCTATCTTTTCGTGGTCTTTGTGGCCCTTCTATACCCAATTTTTTTCCAAATTATCCCTATATGGGAAAATGTAGGGTTCGTTTCATCTAATGATATGAACAATGAACAATAAATATAAAATTATGACTTTTCTTAACACTACAAACTTTCATCTCTATAGAAATTAAAATAGGCGATATAAAATTGTTGAAAATTTTTTACATTTACAGAAACACAAAGTATTAACTTATGAATATTTTAGAAAATTATATTTCTTTAGGTTCCACAATTTTTTCATTTTTTTTTAATTTTGTGTGCATGGTTTTTATTTTATTTGAGGAATTTATTTTAATAAGTTATATAATTCCTTAAAACGATAAAATGCAACAAATTCAAAGGCAAATATATTAAAAAAAGAGCAAAACAAATATTTATCTTAATCTAGACTTGTTCACATTATAATGGTATTAATGTCATTTAAATTTAATTAACAAAAATTATAAAAAGTACTTAAATACTTATATTTCATGCTGATAATTTTTGGCTTTGTTAATATTTTGAGAGAATTATTTTTTTTGGAAATGAATATCATTTTTGATAAAATAAAGATTTTTCGAGATATTTCTTGGGGGGGATTGTTCTTTAATGATGATACCTTTAGGTACAATGATGTGTTGTAATCGTCTGGGAACATAGCCATTGCAACAGAACACTTTAAAATCTATATAAGTGTTTATTTTTTATGTATGAAAACACAAGGGCTAGAATGTACGAAGGCAGTTTTCTTAAGAGCTCTTAACTTGCATATAAAAGTAGCGAAACTACAATAAACAGTCAACAATTTAGGTGTAATTTATATCATTATGTTAATTATCAAACTCCAAGTAGATATTGGTATATGATGCACAATAATGTTTAAAATTCCTTGGGGAAAACTTCATTTCTATGCCGTTGATGGTTCCATCTGCTTCGAAGCTTTGTTCTTATAATTGGCAGTTTCAGGGTTTTTGCAGACCATAGCAGACATACGTTTTAGTCAGAAGATCAATTTGTATTTGTTTTTCCCAAATTATATATAGGGTGCCCGGTGGCATAGAGGTGCAGGCTCTCGTCTACCAATCTCAAGGTAGTGGGTTCGAATCCTACATCCGGCATTTCATCAGCCGACTATTTTTATTAAAATAAAAATAGTGTGGGTACCTAGGTCGACTCAGCCTTAAATGAGTACTTGGAATTCACAATCCTGCGGTAATAATTGGCGGTTGAAGTGTAGTGCTAGCCACATTAACTTCCTTGTATACCGAACGGCTCTAGCATGGCAAGCTGTACCTTGCTACTCCCAAGGCGTTAAACGCTATATACGGGAGCTACTATTATAATATATTCTTCCCAAATTAAATTCCTTCATTGATAAGGTTTTGATCATCAGAGCCCATTTTCACTGTCATCAATCATTAACGGGATAATTGTCATCGGACTGATTATTATCAAAATACTCCCTCCGGAAACTTCACTATTGTAACTATGAGTGCTATCAATGGCTTTTTATTTATTGTCGATCTTCCTTGAGTGCTCTTTACCAGCTTTATCAGAAAAATTAGTTGTTGCTTCATTATTCTACGCTTCTTTTATGTCAGGATTGTTAACTGTACACTGTCAATGATCCTGTCAAAAGATTGAAGGTAAGAAACAACGGCGAATGCAGATTCTGTAGAAAAAATAGAGAAACTAGAACATCTCATCACTGAGTGCGCCGAGACAACAACAATTAATTTGTACCATAAGCTTTGGTACCACTGAAATCGGATAAATAACCGCTATAAAACCGTCTCAGATACTGGCTTTTGGCAAAGCCCTGAAACTGTATGATGAGTTATATCACAAGTAAGAGAGATCACAATAGATTTATAAGGTCCCGGTGACTCCTGCAACTCCCAGTGGACGATATGCCAAGAACGTACAACTTTGACAAACATGTCAATGTAGTATTGAGCAATAAGAAGGATTGGAAGAGCGAAACGCTTGCCCAGCAGTTAAAAGACCATACCATAACTTGGTATACTGATGCTTCCAAAACCAATACGGGAACAGGGATCGGAGAACAAGTGAGGAAAATTTCAAATAAGTCATTAATGTGATTATTACATATTATGTGGTTGTAATTAAAATATGTTGTTGTTCATTACCAATTTCATTTATTTTCGAAAAAGAATAATCTCAACGCGGAATATGCAAACATTTTATGATAAGAGAGTAATATTATACCGTTGTTATTCGTTTATTTGTGAGGTAGGTCATCGATAAATAAATTCGCAAACGACAGCGGTGAATTGAAGGTTATGATAAAAAAAATTCGGAGTTTTTGCATAACGATAAGCGTCCTCCGTTTGGTTATTAAACTTTGCCTGCCGCTAAAGGTGTACCCACACGTCCTATTTCATAAATTGATATTATTAATAATATTTAATAATTTATTAATTAAAATGTTATAAAGTTAATTCTTAGATAACTTAGTAAAAATAATGGTGAGTTTTAAAATACTTGTTGGCACGATTTTACTTGCAACTTTATAGAGACGAAGAGACTTTCTTGGAGACGAAATATTATATTTTTCCATGTCATTTTAAATATCTATTAGACAAAAATACTAGATGGATCACTTGTACATAAATTGAAAAATAAATCTTTGCCATTTAGAGGTCTAATGGATTCACACGAAATTACTTCAAAAATCGGTCCAACATTTTAATTGATGAACCATATAAGGTGGGATATGAGTTTATAACATTTGAAAGATCCAGGAGTAAAACTTGATAAGCTCCAATTTCTTAATTTTAGGATTTTCAATATTATAGTAGGTCTAACTGGTCCCTACAAAATGTATAAGCTCTGCAGGGCAATAAGTTGCTTAATCCTATGATATATATATGTACACTAAGAGACATAACCTAACCTAACCTGATAACCAACAGCGTCTAGTGCTCTCCTGTAAAATTAGTAAAATGGCGCTTATCATGTTCCCCACCCCATGTATAATTATTTTTAATTTATTAAAAGTATTTAAACGTTACAATGGAAGCGTAACATTTTATTTCATGAATAGATTATAAAATAGTTTTTACAGTTTTCTAGGACACATTTTTATAACTTTTACAGTTATTTCTCGATTTATAAAGTTTTTAAAAATTTCATTTTTTTTAATGCCGCTTAAAGGTCTAGCAGCTGATGCGGCTTATACAAAATCCTTCCTTCCTAGAAGTTGACTTTTTTTATTTAAATCACATGATTAAAATAAAAAAAATCACTTACTTTAAATCACGATTTAAATTATGATTTAAATCATGCCAAACCTGGTTTACTCTTGATAACGTTCAGTGATCCATCTGACCAACACGTCAAAAATAACTAAAGAAAATGGAAGCCCGAAATTCTTTTAGTTTCAATACTGAATCATTGTTTCTCACATTCAAAGAAACAATATACAGGGTGTCCCAGAAATAAGTGCAATTATTTTAAGGGGTAGTAGATCTAATATAAGTATAACGGAGTTATTTTACTTTAAAAAAATGATTTTAATAATGAAGAAATTATGTTTTTTTACCTAAAAACTAAAAAAAATTTCCAACAAATTTTCAAAAAAATTTCGAATTTTCCAAAAAAAAAAATCGCGAATAAAAAACACATAGGTGTGTTTCTGGGGTTGAACTATACTAACAGTTAAAATACTTGCACTTATTTCTGGGACACCCTGTATAGTAATCGCAAAATAATTTCCGATACATGTGATCCGCAAAATAATTTCCGATACAATTTTGAGTTACAAGCGATGGCGACAGCGTTGCCAGATTGTGATGGATTTATGAGATGTACCTATTATAAGGTACATCTCATAAATCCATCATATACAATATTCATTTTAGTAATTAATTTATTTATTTGTTTTATAGCTTATTTTACTTTTTAATAGCTCATTAATATTAACAGCCTGTGAAAGTGCACTCACAGTAGAAATATTTAAGTTTAAGGTAGCAGTTACTCGCGAGAAGTAAGCAGAAATAAGTTTGAAAGTGGTATTGTGCTTACCGATCAAACTTACTTCTCTGACTGCAGTCGAGAGTAATAAAGGAACTTTATTGTCACTTTCTCTTTCAAAATAGTTCACCAGGAAAGCTACAAGCTCCTTGCTTGGACTGTTTAAATGCTTCGGCATATTTTCAACACACAATTTCAAGAAATGCAACATAAAAACACGAAAATTTAGATCTTAAAAGAACTGTTTGTGCTTAAAAGTACAATTTTTTAGAAAAGACTATGAAAATCGGCAAAAAAAACGGAAATTACTCACAAAGATTCAACAACAACACGATATTGTACAAAATAATGAGTGACATTATGATCATTGTCAAATAGTAAACGACAACGTTGCTGAACACGGCGCAATGTGGCCAACCTGGCGATAATAAAATACGGTTTAAACTAATTTTTGCAGGTTTAATCTAAATAAAATATCTGATACAACTATTTGCTCTATAAAGTAAAATGAATGATTGTATTGTATTGTATTGACTAAGAGTGGGTCCCATGGGGGGACCCTCCACTGAGGCCGCGAGGGCCTATTGTGGCTCAGTTTCTACACGCTCTAATTTACAAGAGCGTCAAA